AGATTGACGGCAAAATAATTATATAAGAATGTGATATCATCAGCATTATTTTGCTCTTATATCTGTAAGTTGCAAAATAAAGAACCGACTCTGTTCAAAACGGTTTTCCTCCGTCTTTTATTTATAATATATCAGATCTTAAGATGCTTACACTTAAGACATGTCATCAGGACAAATCCTGACATGGTACTTACCTGCACAGATCACAATAATATACAACTGGACTTTCCAAAAAGATTGACCAGATTTAAGGATATGAGTGGGAGCTTTACATATATTCTTATATGGATATTAAATGTATAATATGTGTAACTTTTGCGAAAGTAGACAACTTTTGTTCACATTGTGTAATTTTGTGGACTAAATAACTCCATTAAGGCATGAAAAGGGGTAATATATCACAAAAGATAACAGGTTTGTTTATTTCAATGACAAGTTGACTGTCTTTTCCTATGTGACAAGTTGTCATAATTATGAGATATTTTGGTCAAGAGCAGAGACGTTTTAAGAAAAAAATTACAAAAAGTCTTTGCCTGGTCTTACCGACTTGTGATGTGTATTGAAATTGTGCTCGTGAGTAAACAACGAAGGGTAACGTCACGTGACTATCCTAGATCTGTTATTCATGTCCCAGTTTATCCATATAACCCAGTCACATTTATTTTTCCTAGGTAAACCAGGCATGTGTCAATCGTTCCGAGCTGAACATTTTCCTAGGTAAACCAGGCCTGTTTCAATCGTTCCGAGCTAAACATTTTCATAGGTAAACCAGCCCTGTGTCAATCGTTCCGAGCTGAACATTTTCTTAGGTAAACCAGCCCTGTGTCAATCGTTCCGAGCTAAACATTTTTCTAGGTAAACCAGGCCTGAGTCAACCGTTCCGAGCTGAACATTTTCCTAGGTAAATCGGGCCTGTGTCAATCGTTCCAAGCTGAACATTTGTCAATGAAAGTCGAAAATGTTGACTTTTTATGTTTATTCAAATAATTTTAAAACTGATAATATTATGTATACCGTTCATGATACGTTTGGTTTCTTAACATTTCACAAATGCATGACTTCCTACCGGGTAGTCTTTCACTGGAAATTCTTTTTCTGCACAGCGACATCTGATAACGGCTTTCTCAGAAATTATCTCCACTTGATTCTCGAATAATAAATTCGCGGGGTTTAACGGACAAATCAGGGATTTGCTGTCCGGCTGTTAACAAATTCGTCTATGCCATTTAACTGCCTTTGCCGTATGCTTTGTAAGAATCCATAAAACGTTATTTAAACCACCATATACCTTTAAAATATGTTTCAAAAAGATTCGAATAGTCTCTTTCTTGTGTTAAAACGACTTATCATTGTGAAGGTAGGTGAAATACGGGAAAATAGAGATATGATGTAGGCTGTCGATTTTAACCTCTTTAAATTTTCTTATTGGGGCAATAATATTCCTTATACATGTTACTTCATGTCATTTGGTCGATAGTTGCTTGAAATTTCAGTTACACTTTGTTATAGTTATTGACCAAGCAAGTCATGAAAACATGATGTTCGACATTGAAATACAAGAACTTGAAAATCAGAGATTCAACAAATAACATAAAAAAACTCTTCATACATAAAAGACAAAAACAATGAAAACACTGGTATTGCACCTCTTAGGAGTGAAGGTTTACTAAATACAGATCCCTTGAAAAAAGCAAATATCTTAAATGAACAATTTAAATCAACTTTACATCTGAGACTAATACAGTTATTCCTGACAAAGGTCCATCAACACATCCAATAATGGACAACATAGACATCAACAGAGAAGGCATCTATAAATTAATTAAAAATATAAATCCAAAAAAGGCAACAGGACCAGATAACATAACTGGAATAGTGCTAAAAGAAAACATTAACACATGCACAGACATACTCACTCTATCTTTTACAAAATCAATACAAACAGGAAAAGAACCTCATTATTGGAATCACGAAAACGTAACACCTGTTTTCAAAAATAGAGACAAACATCATCCTGGCAACTATAGACCAATTTCATTAATATGTATTTCCTGCAAATTATTAGAGCACATACTTGCAAGCAACATTATGAAACACCTTGATTCAAACAACATACTTTATAACTTGCAACACGGTTTCAGGGCAAATAGATCTTGCGAATCCCAGATAACTTCACTAATTAACCAGCTGTCATCATATAACGATACAAATATACAAACCGATCTAATCATCATGGATTTCGCAAAAGCCTTTGATAAAGTTCCCGACAAACAGTTATACTAGAAAACCATTCCTCTAACAATTATACCAGTTACATCAATGTTCCTCAGGGCACTGTATTAGGTCCAATACTATTTTTCATATACATTAATGACTTACCTGACTATTTACATCACAGTCAAATCAGGCTCTTTGCTGACGACAGTATCATTTACCTACAGATAAAATCAACATCAGATTGCCTAAAACTCCAAGAAGACCTAGAAGGGGCAATCACATGGGAACAAGACTGGCTAATTCAGTTCCATCCTGATAAATGCAACATACTCCGAGTGACCACAAAGAAAACACCTATTCAGTTTTATGCTTCAAGGAGAAACTCACAAGAGAAATTCTCCTTGACACTTACAAATACCTACATGCATAATCTGTATCTTGTTTTATCTTATACCAAAAATAAAAAAATAAAGATTGAAAAACATTACTTATAAATATAAACATTGAAAAATTATTATGAAATAGAAAAATAAATTTGTAATTATTAACAATACTGTTAAACCAGGCATGCACCAGAAAGTAATCATCAACCAGTTGATTTTTTTCTGTATATAAAGAAGAAGAAGAAGTCGGTATAATATTAGTTATCTTGGTGTAATCAGGGGTGTACAGGATTTTACATCGTTGTTAAAAATTCATACACCCTGAGGCGCCGCCGAATGGGTGTATGAATTTTCAACAACGGTGTTAAATTCCGTACACCCCTGATTACACCAAGATAACGAATTTATTTCTTATGAACAATTCCTTTACTCATTTTTAAACCGGGATGTAAAATTGAAAAATACTAATGAAAAATTTCCAGTGTTACATTTCTTCAACGTCGATGTTGCTGCGCATTGTCAAATACTTTTTTTCTTTATTTTGGGGATTCAGAAAAAAAATTTGTTCTTTTGAATTTTCGGGGAAAATTTTTTTTTAATTTTTTCACAAATTTTTGTCCTCAAATTTATTTATTTTTCATTTTTTATATTATTTTTTTTTTTGACATTTTATTTTTATTTGTTTTATGTTGTTTTTTTTTGACATTTTATTTATTTTTGTTTTATTTTATTTTTTGACTTTTTTTTTTCTTTATTTTGGCAATTTTTTTTAATTTTTTTATTTTTTGGCAAAATTTTATTCATCCCGGGGTGAAGAAGGGTGGGGTGTTATTTACACCGGGGTAATTAACCAATCAGATTGCAGTATTTTTGCTGCATAAGAAATAAGTAATTTAATCTGCACGGCTCGGTAGACCCCACCGTGGAGATTAAATAATATATACCGATTTGATTGGTCAATAACGGTTTTAACAAATTATGCCATCAATTTACTTGATTTTTTTTGGAAATATTCGGACGATATTCAATCCACGGCTTCTAGGAAAATTGCATGTAGGGCAAAGAAAGGGAAAATACGTATTTAAGTATTAAAAGTTTTGGTACTGTTAAATTATATTTTTTTTTATATTTATGCTTTCTTCTAAATTGTCACAGTATATGGAGAATTGTGTTTTAATGGTAAATCTATGATTGTTTCTGTTAAATTTATTCACAATTTTTATATAAATTCGTGACGATCGACTAAATTAAGTTTTCTTTAAATTCGGCTAAATAAATACTTGTAACAGTACAACGTAAGCTCTGATTGAACTTTTGAACCTATATAAACGATTTAGAACTTGACATATTGTGTGGACACTTGTCTATTGTTGAACACACTATATTGTCCTCAGATGTCCTTTTGTGGTTTTTGTCGTTTGGTTGCTGTCTTATTGGCGTATTATCCATATCTTCTACAGTTTTAGTTTCGTATGGTATACTTTTTCGTCGGTTTAAGATAAATCATAACTGAGAGAGTTATTGAGTATACATTAGTTTCTTTTCTTTTCCTCAAGAATATGCTCAGAGGCAGATTAAACGACTAGAGATGCACTTACACTTCTAGTGAAAAGTAAACAACAACAAAAGTTTAACTTTTCCGCCTTCCCTACAGCTTTTCAACTGTATTAATTTTGAGGACATGTCGCATCTAAATGAAGTCTAGTTGATCTCCAAACTACTAGTTTATTTCCCCTGTTTTGACACATACTTAGATATAAAACTCATTAAAATCGTTTCCAAATTAGTCAATAAAAAGTAATAAATATCTAAAAAGTCGTAAAAAAATCAATTCAGCACAAAACTAATCCAAATCAGATCTTAATGATTTGGATATTCTAAAATAGTTTAGGAAATTACCAAAAAGGTTTATCTTTTTTGACTTTGAAACACTGATTTAAGATTTACATTGTACACAAAATATCATAAAATCTTCCAAAGAATAAGAAACACATTCTATTCATAATTTGAAAGGCGAACTTTGTACTTTCAGCTAATACATTTAGCTGTTATTCCACAACTAAAGTTCAAACTCCTCCAGGCAAAGATGACCTTAGGTGAATTTGGCTATTCTTTTTTTTTTGTGTTTCTTTTGATCTGACATATATCTCATTATGTACTGAGGTAGTATGCATGCAGAGTTTTAACATGTTTAGGATTGAGCGTTCCTGATGAACGTAAATCTGACTTGGGACAGGAGGATACAAAATTTGGAGAAGTGAAATGTGTTCATGAGTGCTCAACCCTAAATCAACCTGTCCCCGGACAGGAAGGCATTAAGTACCGATCTAAGATCTCGCAGTTACCAAAAGGAAGTTCAAAGCTCAGTTTTCACTAATAAATAAAAAAGAGCATGCTTACCGTACACGTTGGAGTCCATGATACTGCTACAAGGAACATCACCGCCATGATTGTAGATGCATGTAAAGAATAATCCCTGATAACCAGAGACGGAAGCCATGTTAAACATTATCCAATAAGGCAGTACCAAAGACAAGAAACATAGAATAAATCCAACAATTAATAAAACAAGAACACTAACACGGAACAGCATAAGTTGTTGCATATTAAGTTGTGGCTTTAAAAATGACAAGATTCTAAAGGGTGTTGCATACTGTATCGAATCGTGTTCCTACCGAAAAAGTGGAAAGTGACATTTAAATCCACGACAGATCCGCATTTTTTAACAAATAGTCACAGTTCAGAAACTAACAAAGATAATTTTATTTTTATTATCACGATATATCCCTTTAAGTTACATTTACAGTTAATTTCTATTTTGATTTAGTATTTTCAGTTTATGGAAAGTGCGAAACGAGGAGAAAAAAAGCGTTTCTTTAAGTGAGCAATATTTTCTGTTATGAAATTGTAAATATGCAGACACCTCATGAGAAAAAAAAATGGTTTTCGGCAATGAAAAATGTGTTTGATATATAAAAAAAAAAAAATCAATAGATTGGGTCCGGAATTACTTCACGCGACAAAGAAAGATTTTTATGTCCAGCTATAAATTAATTGAGTCTGAAATCGAATTTACCTACCTTCAAATGTAGTTTTAAGGGAAAAGAAAAAATCAAGTGCATTTATATAACGAGAAAGAAGGCTATATATATTTATATAACGAGAAAGAAGGCTATATATATTTATATAACGAGTAAGAAGGCTAAATATATTTATATAACGAGAAAGAAGGCTATATATATTTATATAACGAGAAAGAAGGCTATATATATTTATGAATATATCAACTGTCAACATATCGTTAAAGATGTATCGTTTAAACCAGAAATATGTTCAATAGGAAAATAATAACAAAAAGTTTTGTCTGTATAAAATTTGTAGTGTTATATTATTCTTGTATAAATAAATGAATTCATGCTATTCGTTTTATTGTAGATGCTGTATTTTTTAAATGAAGATGCATTATTTAATTTTATTGAAGCTACAAATTTTATTTTATGTAAGGTGTCAGCTTTAAGCCTACTGCTGAACGTCAAAATCAATTTTTAATTCATCTTTCGATTATTCTTCGAACATAATTCTATTAGATAAAAGTTATTTATACATTGTTGGTAAAAAATTATTTTAAGCTATTTGCTGGGATGTAGAAATATATCTTCTATGTCCTGAACAAGTGAACGGTAAATATAAAAAAAAAATGATTAGTTTAAACAATATTATTTTATTGAGATAAATCATCACAAAACGATATGATACAATTGAAATGAATATTAAGGATTCAGAAACAAGCAAATTTCCTTTTACAAATCTGTCTCCTATTACACAAATAATACACTTATTGAACAATACATAAATTTATCATATACTTAGCATTAATATGATAGCTTTTGCATATGTGTAATGAACGGAAGTACACAAGCCATAATTTCCCACCCGGGCTGATAACCCATATCAGGGGCGTCTCGTGCAAAAAAAACCATAAAGGTGCCTCTCGTGCAAGTTAATTCCGGTATTTCCGGTATCGTATGTTTACTTTTCCATTGTGGCGTCAGATATTTTTTATTATGACGTCAAAATTTTACGGAAACTTTTGGGATGTCCAGTAATGGCGGACAAATAGCGATAAGGTTTATTGGTAAATCTGTTTGTACAGAACCAGCTGTTATTGAAAAAAAAGATGTTAACATGGCTAAATCCGATGATATAGATTTTCAAAATGATGCTGGTTTACAATTATTACTTGCTAATAAATGCCATTGACAATTATGAATCATGTCATATTGTACAACATGTAGTAATAATGATCATAAAACTGTAAATACTTCCTCCATGCTTCCAGCTTCCAAATTTTTAATGTTTCAAAATGCCTCTATAGGAAATGGTTCCATAATATATATGGAGGTAGTGATGACCACCCCCCCCCCCCCCCCCCCCCTCAGGATGCTATTGTTGGACAATCATATTGTATTTTTTGGATTCATGATTTTACTTCTTTAAAAAGTTTTTGACTGTTTTAGTTATTTCATTTGTTTATTTGCCTTACATTAAACAATTGTCGGAAGTATATGATACAGAGATTAATACATGGCCTTTTCCATATCGGCCCGGGTATCATCCAGAGACCCCCATATCAGCCCGAGACGTAGTCGAGGTGCTGATATGGGTCGAGGGATGATACCCGGGCCGATATGGAAAAGGCCATGTATTAATCTCTATATAAATACTGGGCCAGGCATGCTCTGTAATAAATATATAAATATGAAAAAGGTGGAAAATACCATAGGGAAAAAAAATAAACATGAATTTGTGTAATGTATTCGGTGTGAAATGAGACAACTCTCCACAAGAGACCAAATGACAAGGTCCCGAAATGACAAATGTAAAACCATTCAAACGAGAAAACTAACTGCCTAATTTATGTAGAAAATAATGAACGTAAAACAAATATTGTACACACAGTGTACATTTGTCTCTGTTTGGAATAATACTTTTTGTCAAATGTGAATTCATTTTTAGAATTTGTTGTAAACCGTATTAGATTTATTGTCTCTTTGAATATTTCTTTCTCTTAAGAAATAGTATTTCTTTGTTTGTGTGGCTATTTACAGTATGACATATGATGCAATCGAATAGTTTTGAAGAATAGTGACAGTATCCACGTCAAAATCCCGGCAGCACGTTCCACCATTGAAACTAAAATTACTCAGTAAAACAATAGGATTTATGGATTTGAAGGTGGTAAATACGGTGCAATTCTTGATAGGGTAAACTAAAATTGATCGATTCTTAGTCAAACTCAGTAAAGATCCGTCTAAATTCCATTTAATTGATAAATTCCGTAACATGAGTCTCGTTGTTACCTTGATGATGTTTTTTCTTCTTTAAAATAATCAAGAATTCTCTTAATATGCTGCTAAAATTTACCAAAGTAAATTTCCTTTAGCTAAATCTAATATTAACAGCAATAATTATCCTTTTTCTAGATTAGGATATATTTTAGTTTAACACGGAAAAATCTAAACAAAAATTTACGCCAATAGAGAAGATTTTGCGTTCTCTGTTGTTGATTTTCCTTTTTTGGACCGTGGTGTTCCTTGGGCACTTCTTATGGTTAATATATTTCCCAAGTCGTTTGCTATGTTCTTGTCTGCGGTGACGTTTTAGATTTCGATGAGCGAAACCTATATATCATTGGTAAATTATTAAGGGCATATGAAACGAGTTTCTGGTTATTATAATGTTTAAGAAATTATTGAACCCTGGCATGCATTTATACTACTAAAGGAATAGACCGATTTCATTGAGCCGCAACTCCTCTGAAACCATAAAAAGTCGGAAATATTTGTGCCATGATATGACGTATAAATGTAGTGTTTTGTACTTCCTAAATTTGTGTTTGAAACAATCTTTTATCCACAGAAAACGCCAATTTTTGAGAAAATATCCAAATTCGGAGACCGTTATCGATCCGTGTCTTATACGCTGTCGCGCATGCTCAGTCGACGTACTGCCCGACAACTCCGCCAACTCGCACCACTTAAACACTCTCACTTATTATTACAACTTGCAACACTTTATCATACTCGCACCACTGGAAAAAAAAGAAGAAATATAACAAACTCGAAGAAATGTGTTTAATCATTAGATTGTTTTCTTCTTCTCTTAGTAAATTCCTTCTTTCTCGGAGCACTTGTGTCACACAATTCGCACCTTTCGAAAAAAAAAATACTACAAACTAGCACCACTGAGAAATGTTTCAATCATCAGTGTTCTAGGTTGTCTTCTTCTCTGAGTTATTTCCTCCGTTCTATGAGCACCTGTGTAGCACCGAGACAGAAGCTACTAATTGGACATTCAAACCCCAATGGAAGAAGAACTGACAAACTAATAAAAACTATCAACATAATGCTTCAGTGCATAAAAACCGTTTGAGAAACACGAACTCAAGCTGTGTATCACCATAAACATATCAAGTAGTCTTTCTCGTTTTTTATATATGTTTTCCCGTTTAAATGGTTTTACACTAGTAATTTTGGGGGCTCTTTATAGCTTGCTGTTTGGTGTGAGCCAAGGCTCCGTGTTGAAGACCGTACTTTGACCTATAATGGTTTACTTTTATAAATTTTGACTTAGATGGAGAGTTGTCTCATTGGCACTCATACCACATCTTCTTATATCTATTTAAGACGCACCCGCGAGGGTTTTTTCTAGTATATACTAAACCACGCCCTCATTGGCTTTTTGCAAAAATAATTTGTACGAATAAATTACGTATAATCGACAAAAAATATTTCATTCTTTGATTGTTGATCAATAACTTTGGCTGCTTATTCACTTTCGGGTTTTGGTGCCGAGGTTTACTATTTTTTTTCCTATTGTTAAACAATAAAAACAGAATCATGGAGCACGTGAAAAATAAGTGAGATGATAAAACGATGAATATTGTTTTATTCATATTTTCCATGCGTTCCCGTTTGTAAATCTAACTTTGTCAAAACAGTTGTTCAATTGTTTGGTATATTAACTGGTTTCTTTCAGAATCGATTGATAATATCTTCTTACAACGTTTGTTTACCTTTTCTTTTATCACGGTTTTTCCGTGGTTGTCGAAGTGTCATGTTAAGGTCATTTCATGCGGAAAAGCTGTCGGTCAATTAGAGTACGGGAAGACCATAACTCAATAGCAGTACATTTCTGAAGCTCTGGATAAGATATAGAATTTATTTTTCAAAGATATTCTATGTTCACGTGTTATATAATAAAATTTAGCTACTGAAGTGTAAAAACATATTCACATTTGAAAGTTAGAAGTATCAAATTATTTCAAGTTAGGGATTTCGTAACCATAAATTACTTAAAACGTTTACTAAACATTATCATAGATACAAAGATTTGGTTTTGAAGTATGGCTGGACCTGTAGAATTCGTATCAAACACGGGATATCACTTCCTTATGGTTACGACCCTTATATTTATGATTACGTTGTTTATAAAGTACGTTAATTTAGACACGATCAATGTTAACTTATTGATCCTTTGAATATCATTTTAACACCGTAGAACGATGTTTGAATAAAGCTTTTATCGGTAATGGCATTGATTTTGTTTTTGATAAATTAAACATAACTAATTATGGATTGCTTTACATTTATGAAAATGTATGGTCCTACATCCTGTCAGTATT